TTACATCTCAGGATATGGATGTGTTTCTGCATTGACAGGGTTTGATTTTCGCATCTTGTGTGACTGAAGACAGATTTCTCGAAAAATATCTAAGTATAAAATACACAATATACAACCAGAGCTACCAGTTTTCTTCAGGATAAATCTGTGTTGAGCAGGAGATATTCTAAAACACAGACACATGGAAACACGTGCACACACACACACACAGTTGCAGCAACAAGTGTTTGGCACAGAACTGCAGTGATGACAGTTTGATATGTGAGTGGTATTACTGATGGTGTTATTCTTGGACAAAGACAAATGGAACCTCGACGTACGTTCAACTGTTTCCTTTTTGTGCATATGTGTTCTATTGTCCCAACCCTGAAAGCTCCAACACCAAATTTTGCAGGTCTCACTCTTGTGTTTAAAAAAAATAAATAAATAAATTAGCATCATTATGTCTGTTGTCCACACCTCACTGTGTTGTCTTGGCACTGCTGTGTCTAAATTAGGTGAATGTTAATAGCTTTTAGGAAAAGTGTTCCGCTCCCCGCCCTGGTTTATGACCACTCTGACATCAAACTACATCACAAAGAGACGTGGAAAAAAGGGCCGAGGTGAAAGGTTGCTAATGTGAACAGGCGCAGGTCAAAGCAGAATGGAAAGTGGTTCTCGTGGTTTTATTTTCAGGGATTTAGCTTTTGCAAATACATCAGTGATCGCAATGATAAGATAGAAAAGTTCATCCATAATTTTTAAATTCTCCTTTCAGGGTCAGATTCAAGGGTCAGCTACAGAACAGCACCTTTTCAACTGGTGAAGTTTCAGTGTCTTTTTCTCTTCTATACAAGTGAGGTCAAGACCGTACAGTGTTTAATTATAAAGATTGATTCATTTTGATCAAACACTTGTCAAAAAGCGAGGAGAAAAGTTCAATCCTCCGGCAGTCTCTGCCTCTTGCAGCATAACTAAGGGATTGTCCAGTCTCACCTGAGTCAACCTTAGCTGGAAACTTTGTCAAAAAGAAAGGTTTGAAGCCTGATTTAAAAGTAGAGAGGGTGCTCGCCATCAGAACCCAATCTAGGAGCTGGTTCCACAGGAGAGAAGTGTGTTAGCTAAAGGTTCTGCCTCCCATTCTGCTTCTGGAAACTCTTGGTACAAGAACTAAACTAGTACTCTGAGGGTCAAGTGGAATTTTGTCATTTATCGCTAAAGGAAGCTCATATAGGAGGAATATGTTTTGTCAATAATCTTGCAGTAGCGTTTTGGATCAACTTAAGGCTTTTCATAGAAAAAAATTGGACATCCTTACATTAAGCAATTGTAGTAATTGCTGAATTTTAACAATGTTGTGCAGGCAAAAGAGACATAACATGGTCAAAGACAATTTAAGTCAACACCATGCACCAAACTATAGGGTCACATAATTGTGTTTCTGGAGTGTTTAGGGCTAAATACAATGGCTTCAGTTTTTTCGATAGTCAGAAGAAAATTATTGATCATCCAGGCCTTAATGTCTTAAAGACATGCTTGAATTTTAAAAACTGATTAGTTTCATCTCCTTACATATATAAGTATAGGTGGGTGTCATCGGCATAGCAATGATAGTTTATCCTGTGTTTCCTAATATTATTGCCTAAGAAGAGCTTGTATAAGGGAAAAAATATCGAGCAGTATCTATGACTAACTTTTATGTGTGTGGAAAAGTCATCTTTAATACAAATCTGTTTGACAAATATGATTTAAAACAACCTAATGTGGTTCCTTTAATCCCAATAACATGTTATCGTGATCAATCATATCAAATACAATCTATTTATCTTTAATTAAAAGTCCTCACAGAGTAAAAACATTATGCTACCATAATGTATTGTTCATTATCTAGTTCACAGCGTTGGTTTTTAGGCCATTTTTTTCTCACAAATGATGACACATCATTATATCATTTAACTGTAATGAGTTTAAATCAAAATTTAATTATATTATTGAAAATAAAAGTCACAGGTGGTACGTTATCAAGTTTCCAAATTTCCCTCTCCAGAGAAAAAAGGCATTTTAGAAGCAGCTTTGACAAGCCTGAGAGACATTTCAGCCTCTCTCTATTGCACATAAGCCAACACCAGAGGAAGCAGCTGTGCCGTTTTTAACAGACGAGATAGAGAGCGGAGGGCGAACAGACGTTTCCTGATGGTTACCTTCTCTGCGCGTTTGTCCAACAATAACACCATCGACACACCTAACACAAAGGGAACCGAGAAGCCAGCCAAAGGGGCAAATTGCTGGGCAGGTTATTGAGTTTATCTGAAGATCTCTGTGTGACCATGGCCTTGAGTAAAGCGTAACTTTTCCAAAGCATCACCCTGCTCAAAACATAATTAACACAGGAATCAAAAGCAGACAATACGCAAGCTCGCTGTCTTGGCAGCGTTGTGTGGAATCACAGGAATGTTGTTTTGGAGGGAACCAATTCAGCTCAATTTGATGCAGGTCTGGCCTTGTATGAAAAGACCACTTGGCCGATAGCGTTGTGGGACAGAGGTGTTGAGCTGAAAATTACACTGCTGGTGTTTTGGATGCATTAATGCATTCACTCCAGGGATGCAGAGGATGCAGACCTTGACTTGGCAGCGAGTTTGGCGTAATTCACCTGCCCTGGGAATTTAACATCACCACCTTCTTTTAGGCTGAAAAGATGAAATATGTTGACAGGTTGTGGATCATTAAAAAAAAAAAAATAAAAAATGCTCCAGCAAAGCAACAATGGTATTAATGTTACTAAACACCTCTTTCATTACGGATAAATGGTAGCAGATAATGACATGAGCCTGCGTGGAGCTTGATCTTTACGTTTGTGATGGGAGACTTTGCTGAAACAGAGCCTACATTCTGAGTAGAATAAATTGAGTGAATTATAAAATGATAAAGAATTTAATGAACTAGGGTATTATTGAGTGTTGCACCAAGGTGAAATATGCTTTTAATTAATTACACGCTGAAGCGAATGAACATCACACCCTGACTGCATTCTTGTACAGCGTGTGTGTGTGTGTTTGTGTTTGTGTATGTTGTGTGTATCGGATCTGATCTGAACATGCGTGATTGATGGATGTTTTTGATGGTGGTTTGAGACGCGACCGGCTCCAGAAATCATTAGTGCATCTTAATGTCAGCGATGATGAGCTTTGGAAACTCTTTCATTCCACTCCAGACAATTACACTGTCATCATTTTTAATCTATCTGGCCCATGTGCACCTTTAAACAGTTTATGTCACACACACAGACACAGACACAGACACAGACACACACACACACACACACACACACTGTCCAATTAGCCAAACATCATCTTTGCTATCTGAATGACCACATGCATCTTTCTGTCTGTCTCGGCACAGCTAATGATAATGATAGTTGTGTATTTCCTTGTCTGTCTGTGTGTGTGTGTGTGTGTGTGTGTGTGTGTGTGTGTCTACTCAGGCTTGTGCTCCGGCGTTTGCAAATGTATTTTTGTGTGCCTGCATGATATAATATGTCTTAACACATAGCTTAAGCAGACACTCAACCATTTCCAGACCTACAGCCAAATGACAGTTAGATCATTAAGCTCCAGCACTGAGCGCTGCTCTAATTTAGCATGAAGCCGGTAGATCATCCCCTCTTGCTGCATGTGACCTTCACGTTCATGCAAAGTGTGTTTATGAGACGAGTATTTTTAATACTTGTTGGCGACTGTCATGAGCGGACTTCCACTGAAGCCTATTCAACGGCAACGAAAACTCTAGAAAGGTATGGATATAATGAGAATTCAGAGAAGCAGGTGGAGTTTTGTAACTTGAGCTTCTCAAAAAAAAGTGCTGTCATGATAAATTATTTGATAGAAATATTTAAGCATGGCCATGTAGGACTCCAAACTAACTTTTTACAACTAACTTTGATTTAGATGCACTGAATAATACATGTTAAGTGCAACTTTTTGGTTGTTTCCCATTCACCTCACCACATATATCAATTCACGTCTATTTCTGGTATTTCAGCTTGGAACTTTGTGATCCTTCAACAAAAGAACAACTCCCAGCCATGCTGTGGCTGCATTCTTTGCAGTGAATGCAGTGAATATTTGTCTCATATGTCAGTGTTTTGTTAGTGTTACTCAGGTTGATTTCTGAAGCTAGAATTTACAAGTGTCCTTGAAATGCCTCACATTTAGACTATTGGTAGACGCTACAATTTCCCGATGTTCACCAAACCTGTCACATCCATGAGAAGATGCCACAGCTTACCAAAGTTCCACAGATGCCTCACATGCGTCGGTATTTGTGAGCGAGGCAGCTGTGCACAGAGGAGCCATTAATGCCCGCGAAGTTACTGCAGATGTGCAACTCAGACAGGTGTGTGACTAAAAAAAAAAAAAAAAAATAGTTTGAAAAGGGGGAAATAGAAGATTTACCAAAGATGAAGCCAGGCTGGTAAGATAACAAATTAAAAGAATCACAACAAGAGGACTTTAGACTACAACTACGTAAAGTACCAAAATAAAAGCTCTGGATTTGAGGCAAATGTAGAGGTGATTGCGATGATCCTGAATAAAAAAAATAAAAAGAAGAGATAACTTTAACCCTCAGATAACTGCAGTGATAATTATAACCAAGTCAGTAAAGCATGAATGATTTTGTAAGCATGTTATGATCATTGAAATGTAGAATCTCTAACCTTCAGAACAGATGTGTGAATCAAACATTTCCCTCAGGTTTCAGCCTACAGGTTTCGCATTCATTACCTTCAATAGGTGAGGTTGTTGTAATCTAATTAATGAAATGTAAATGTGAGATTCCCCAAAGTGTAACAGCAGCTATAGTCACAGTGAAGTAAATGCCCAGGGATGCTCAGAGATGTACTGGGCAGTTTGTGTTTCCTGATGTGATGCAACGCGGCGATGTCATGTCGATTCTGTACTGGTGTGAAAAAGTGTGTTTAGTTAAACGTTCTTTGTGCGATCTCCTCTGTCTCTTTGCAGAGGGAGTGTGTGAGATCTGGTTGACCAGCGAGGACACTGGTGCTTATGGGAGAGACATTGGGACGGACCTGCCCACGCTGCTGTGGAGACTGGTGGAGGAGATTCCTGAAGGAGCCATGCTGAGGCTGGGAATGACCAACCCGCCTTATATCCTGGAACATCTAGAGGTAGTTTACACACTCACACATGTGCACACGCAGTCACGTTTCAGATGACATCACACTGACTTACATTCGTTTTCTGGAGACTTATTATAATCACAGCTAACATGAACCTTAAATCAAGTCTTCAGACTAAAATTAACAATTAAGTTTGGCTGCAAAGCGAGTCCAGACTTTTGTCCCCACAACATGACTAAAGTACATTTGTGCACACTCCAACCATTCCACCCAGTAGTCTCATCAAAGATAATAATACATTAGTGACAGATAAATGTGAAATGCTTAAGCACTCCAGACCTTTTCCTTTTCACATCTCCTTTTGTTTTCCTCCTGATAGTCTCTGGTGCGATCCCTTTCTGGGAACAAACAATATTGCATTGCTTAGATTTAATAAACTAAATGCCTTTCTGTTTTGCTTACTAAGCAGTTAAGCTGCAGCACTCGTTTTCCACTCATTAGTTCATTCTCTTCTTTCCCTAATGAGTCAATTAAGGTCCATTGTGTCCTCTTTAGCAACCTCATTTTATCAGTCATTATTGTCTTCCCTAATGGAACAATGGACATTGTTATCCACTCTCTCTCTTTTCTCTCTCTCTGTCTCTCTTTCTCTCTTTGTGTTTTTCCATGTCTATGAGACATGTATTTCATTTAAATCAGTTTTTTCCCCCATCTTTTCTCTTGTTTTTTTTTTTTTCTTTTTTTCTCTTCGTTTCTAGATATATTAGAGTAGCAACATATCACTTTTTTCCAACCCTCAGCTCACATTAGGCATAACTCTGCTTCCTGACAGCAAATATAAAGAGTAGAAGAAGTTCAACCAGAATGACGGTAGGATGTGTTTAATGCAGAGAGGATATCTATCGAGAAGTTCCTTTGCATTGACCAAATTATGTGGCTGTGTGTGTCCGTGTGGTCCGTCACAAATTTATTGTTTTTAAAATCAGTGAAATCCAGGAGGATTCAGCAAAGCCAGTGCTTTGCTTTACTTTTTTAATGAGTGGAATCTCTCTGCTCCATCAGAGGAAAGACCTTTGTAGGAGTAAATAGTGGCGTATACAGATATTTAAAGACTTCCTCTGATGTACATCAAGTTTTTTTTTTTTTTTTACCTGATCACATATGGTGTTTTCTATATACTGGATGAGGGAAATACGTAGTCGATTTCATTCCATTTTCACCGTTCAACTGTTGTACCAATTGAGACTTCCAGGGTTTAAAACATAACTAATCTAAGGAACCAATCTTTTTTTCAAGTTGCAGCATCTCATTAGGCTTAAGAATGGATCTAAAGTTGAAATGGTGGAATTACTCTAAAATTACAACTTACCATTGTGTAGCATAGAGTAGTGTTACAAAGTTTGAGGTAGAGTCATATTTTTTTCACAGAAAAAAAAAAAATAATAATAGTAAACTTCTAAATATGTATCTTTGACACCTGAAGATGAGTTTTCAGGTGTTTAACCAACAACTGCAGAGGGAATTTAAAACTAGACTTTGAAATACACATTTTTAAAATGTTAAGAGATGGTGTCTGTCCTTGATTTCCAGCAAGAACAGCACTAAAATGCATTATAGAGATGGGTTGATGGGAATTGAAAGTTCTCTCAGTTCTTTGTAACTCCCCCTTTGCTCTGAAATCCAAAATTCAGTAAGTGGCTTCTTCGTCAGTCTCTGTCAAGACTGCAGCATCAATCAATCAATGACCTCTCAAACTCAGTTCATATCGCACCAAATGATTGGTAATCCACTCTTCTCTACCAGGCATTGCTTTTCAAAATAGATACTCAAGATGAGCCATGACAAGGACACGCAACACAACCTTTGAATCATTGTTCTGTCTCGGAAAGTCTCCCAATAATGTGGAAGCACTGAAGTTAGAATTTAGCAAATTTAGATCCTCGAAAAGCTTCGTATACGGAGAACCAGGGTCATGAATTTAACAACTTTGTGCAAAGTCAGTGTTATTTTAACACAATTTGACAACAGATGAAGGAGCTCCTTGTTATATCTCTATATTCTTTGCTTTTTCAGCCTTCAAGTGACCCAAAAAACTTTCAGAGGGCTTGAGGTCAGGTGACTCTGGAGGAAAGCCCACGACAATGAGCTCTCCTCAGTCTTTTTTTTTTGGTCTTCGAGTAGTTCTTGCGAAGCTTTGTCGTGTTCTCCACAAAATTGCAGCCCACAATTGGAGAATGGAGTGCTACTTCTCCTTGGTCGGGTTGGAGTCGATCCAGTGCTGGTGTCCAACTCCAGAGCAGCATAACACATTGACTCAAAAAAAAAATCCCAGCACCATGTTTCACTGTTGGTGTCAGTTCTATCATCTGTTCCACTCTTTCCATACACACCTCTGTTACTCAAACTTGGATGAAATAGGACAGTTTTCCAATCGCCTTACCCCTCTTCATGCATTTCCTAAGAACGGATTTAATCTTGTTTCATTTCTTTTGCAGTTTATTCAATTTTGCTGCAGAGTTTTGTTTTTCTTTTTAATTTGTGTTAACGTTGTAATGTTTTGCCTGTAGAGACTTTGAATAACATCTCAAACGACTGCCTTCTCTTGGCAGTTTTTTTTTTTGTAGATTCAAGAGTTTTTGTTTTTTTTTAGCAAAATTTCTTTTAGAAGCCTTCAGTCTATCTATGCTTTGATTCTGGGAAATATCTTTGCAAAAGCAGCACCTCCAGACACTTAGTTGTGACGGCACGTTTTCCCACTACCACAACGACACAGTGTCATCTGGACGTGGGCTTCTCAGGCAAAAAGGACCTTTTGTGCGACGTTAGTTACTGTGATCAATGCCACAAACGTGCTTAACTTTGATTCAGTCTTCATCAGAGTCACATAATTAGAGCAACTGATTCTTCTGATTTGATTTAGGATTTCTGATTTATTAGTCAATCCTCTTTTCAAGCCCTTAACTTCCATAGAACGGCTATTTTCGACCCCGATGAAAATAATCTGGGAAAAAAATCCAGGAGGGACACACCGGTGGAGAATGGGTTGGAAACTGGGTGACGGTAACCTAGAAAAACACGAAGAAACAAGCAACTTCACCGTAAAGTTCAGAACAGATCCTATGAATCAAACAATCGAGGATGATAGGGATCATAGATAAATGAAATGAGGGCAGAAATTAAAAAAAGAAAAAGGAAAAAAAAAAAAGGGGGATGAAGGCCCGGGGATAGAGACGAAGGGGTACGGAGGAGCGAGGAAAGTGCTGTGGGAAGCAGCAATGGAGGTTGTAATTAAGCAGGGGTTAATGGAGGTGGCTAATTGTCCCCCACATGTATAGGTAGGCTTTCTGCTTGGCTACATTACAATTAAAAAACCACCCTCCTAATGATAGGGAATAACAATTAACTGATAATTAGAAATATACTAGGAAGACACACTGGCTTAGTCGGCGTGTGTGTACGTTAAGAGTCATCTCATATGCTAGCAGCCCTCGTATTGTTAACGTCCATGCATTGAATTGAATTATGTCTTTTTTGCTTTAATTCCTTAGTCAATTAACCTACATAAGGAGAGATAAGAATGGTCTTCTTTAACTTATCATTGTCTTTTGTTGCTCCTGTCCCCTATTTACCCTTTCTCTCCTCTCCCCTCCTTCTTCTCTTCCACGCCAGCCCCTCTTCACTCCTGTTTCTAGTCCTACTTATTACATTTCTATGTATCGACAGCGATTATTAGCCCAGCATCTAACAGACAAACTCTTCCATATTCTTTTGAAAGTCTTTGAAAGTTTTCCTTGAAGCTCTCTTGTTTTTATTCGTCTTTGATTCCTCTTTTCTCCCACTGATTCTTTTTTTTAGTTTTTACTTCTCTTTCTTCCTCCAGCTCTTCCTATTGTCATTTTTATTTTATTTATTTTTTAACTTTGTTCATTTCCCTCCACCTTTAAATCCTTGTTTTTCTCCTCCTAATTACTCTCTCCTCCTCTCGTCGCCAATCCCGCTCGCGGTGATGGCAATCGCTCGACACAAACGGCGCGAGGATGATGAAGGCCCGAATCTCCAGAGTATATTTGTCCTTCATCTTAAGTAAAGGCCAGATGATATCCCGCTGTCTTCCCCTCTGAAGAACACCGGTACTTATATAACAGCATCATTCCGAACGGCTGTGATTGAAGCTGAAAAGGCCAAGTAACTTCTCCACTACCCCGTTAAAGATCAGCCTCTCCTCTCTTCGCACGTTCTCACAGATCAACGCTTTTGCTCTGTCGTCTTCTGTCACACAAGAGCACACAATTTCTTCCTCCGTGCTGCCTGTTTTTTTTTTTTTTTCTTTGACAGATGTAGACGGCCTCATAGCACCATTTGCTGATTGGAGCAGTTAAAGGCCCAATCGCCTCTCATGGGCCACTTCTCTCTGACATTTTAGTTGATTGCATTGTGCTGTCAGTAGTTCCCTTTTTTGAAGAGCTGCACATAGAGAAAAAAAAATGTCTTTAACAATGCTACTTTTTGTTTTTCATTTTACTGATGTTTTTTTTTTCCCTTCCTCCTCTTCTCTTCAGGTTCTATATTTTTTGAGCTCAGCACTCTTTCTGACTGTCCATCTCTCTTCCTGTGCGAGATAGCGGCGTCTGATCGTCTAAGGTGCGCTTGTGTGCGCGCGCAGATAACTGTGCATGTGTGTGATTGAATCTATCATGGTAGCAGAAACAGCAAATGAGGTGTGAAAGTAGCCTCCTTGTATGAAGCAATCAGTCAGGCTAAGATGAATGAAACAGCAGTTGTCCATTAAACATCCTCCTCATCTCGGTTTGACCAACATCAGATACGGATTCGTTCACTCTCTCTGCGGTTTGTTCTGTCGCACAGCGTTACATTTGCTCAATATTTCCCTCAAAAATTCTAATATTATAAAGACAAGAGTAGCAAAATATAGTTTTTTGTTGTTGTTGTTTGTTAGTTTGCAGCTATCTCCAACTATTTTATGCATGAATAAATGAAAAAACTGAGTGAGATTTTTATAGTTTTTTTTTTTTTAGTACACCAAAGCA